TTTCTCATTCATAGAACAACTTACTTTTATTTTTCTTCTTCTCATGGTTTTTAGGATAATTCTAATTAATTTTATTCTTAATTTACTTTTAAGAAAATGAATTCCAGGAAACAAAAATTCTATTCAGACCTAATTTTTTTCTCATGCTTAACATGAGGATGTCAGTAGATGCATTGTACACCAGAGATGTCAATATATGCATTGTACATGATACATGCATTGTAATTGTACTTGTAGTAAGAAACTGGTAACTTTTCCTCCATGTTCATTCTTTGTCTCCTCATTTTAATTATATAACTCATGCCCAGCCCATAAAATTTAGAAGGCATGACTTCCCGGCTAGAGCCACCTTTGCAGTGAACTTCTTGTCACAGGAATAAGCATAGAGTTGGGATGTGTAACTTTGGCTTCACTTTCTTAAAATGTATATACTTACCTTTCACTTCTTCTCTTCCTCCCTTCCCATAGGCTGGGAAAGTTTGAGTCTGAATCCACTCGATGACAATGGGTTTGGGTTTGGTGGGGCATTCTAGCGAATAAAAGGAAAACTAGCAGGAATATAAGCCTTTAGACAACTTCATGAACTATCTCTGAATGGCTTCATGAAAGAAAACAAATTATCTTGTTTGAACTACTGTATTCTGCGGTCACTCTGTTCCTTTGGCTTAGCCTACACCCTAAGTAATTTTTAATTTGGTACTAGAAATAGAAAAGTGCTGTTATAACAAACATCTAATATGTGGCTGTGGCATTGTAGTCAGGCAGCAGAAAGTGAGGCAACACTGCAGGATAGAAAAGGAGAGACTTGTTACGCTTTCGCTACACATGAGGTAAAATAGTCACAAGCAACAACTTGTAAGGCAGGCCTGCAGCTATGGGGAAAGCAGTTAGAAAAAAGCAGAGTGGTATTTACTGGCTATACTCTGCTGTTTTTCAGTAAGTTTCTCGTGTCTTGATGTGACATGAGAAAAACTCACTTGCAAGTAAGTAACCCAGCTCTGTCACAGCTCTGCTTATCTTATGCTCAGCAGCCCATCTGCTTCTGTATTCACAGCAGGAGATAGGATTATTATTGTCTTTCTCAAAAGTCTCCATTAAGTATTACAGGCCAGACAATTGGAGTCAGCTCAACAGAAAAGATCAGATTAAGGGTGGTGCATTCCCATTTAAAGGAGGCTCTGGTAGCATAGTGCCTAAGGCACTTGACTGCTAACCAGAAGGCTGGCGGTTCAA